AATGATCTGATTAAAATTGAAAGTGTTTTTAAAGAAGGTTCACCAAAGCTGTTCTGAGGTATTCCAACAACAAAGACTGTCACCAAAGATGTCAACAACTCAAATTAGAACCTATCTATGGATCAGACGTATCAAATTAAACTTTGTATTTATTAACTGGCTTATTAACGGTATTTCCTACTCTTTGGTATCCACCCCTTCATACTCTATGAAATCCCACAATCTACGCAATAAAGAAAATATTCTAGCGATTCCAAGAACCCACGCAAACCTACGCCATAATTTTTCCATTATTCGCTACTCAACCATGTGGAACAGACTGCCAGTTAACCTCCGTTGCAGTGAAAACACAACCCGGTTCAGAAGTCTCCTTGATGATTTTCTTTCCGAAAGTGGATTGTGTCACCTATTGAATATCAATGTATTTAATAATGATTTATACAAACAAGGTCCGTCATCCATCTAACTGGCTGAAAAGCAAAATGAAACCTTTGAAACTTTTCACGTCTATTTTATTTTATTTCTATTCAGCTTAATATATGAAGTCTGCTTATGTTCGTATCTATAATTATTACTCTTATTAATATCCCTATTGATCCCTCGACACATTAGATATTCTTTTCATCTCTTCCTATCTTTCTAAACATATGTAATTCCTGATTGTGCTTTGAAACTGATTGTGACTTTCATAGCATCATTCTTAATTACTATTGCACAAAAGTTTATACTAATATCTGGTTTCACTCTGTATATTATTACATAAGTCTACATGTGTTTATCCGAATGCCCTAAATGATTTATTTTGCCTTTCTAAATTGTTGGTTTATTTAAGGGGTCGATATTTATTACACAATGACTATTTTTATCATGGTCGAGCCCTTTCACTAGGTGTTCATCTCTTTTTTCCCTTCTAAATCAATACTATTCTAAGATTACGAAGTTTGTAATTGAGACACTAACTTGTGTAACACTTAAATTAACTTATCAGACTCGTTTTATCTTCACTATGCATATATGACTCATACATACTGATATTTCATTACCCTTTTAACCTAACTGAGACTTTCATAGCATCATTGCAAAATATGATTGCACAAACATTTATTCTAGCGTTATATCTTACTGCAATGATAAGTTGTTTTTTCTTAATTATTTTCTACATTATTTTTGTTACTGATTTGACGATACATACATAGTCGTTTATTCTTGTTCTGTGTTCGTAAACACACCTATTAAACTATTTGCGTATTTCACGTCTCCTTTATTTCTATTTCCTTATTTTCTTCCTTTCTTTCTTTAGACTCAATTCGATATTCTTCTCAATTACACGGAGCCTGATTTATTGTTGTCATTCTACTATTATTACTCTCTTTTTCAAATATGTCAAATATAATGCTAACATTATTGAAACTTGTGTATTATTGCATTTTTGAAGAAACCCGAAATTGTTTCTTCACAACACTTGTGTACCCATAAGATTTTTTTTTTCTTGCACCATTTTTCAGTCCATTTGAGATGCAGAAGGGGTGACCTACTCCTGCACCATCCTTAAAGCCTCAAATATTCCGAAGGGATATAAGATTACAATTTCTAGAAGCCATTAACTTTACGTCAATCTATTATCGACCATCAGTTGTGCGTTGCAACGCAACTTTCACGAAGCGCGCCAACTGTGATACTGACTAAAACTATCTACAAATTATCTACCCAGCTGAGTAATTTGCTACAGTTGGAAATTGAATCGTTTGTATCAATTTAATCTTGCCTGTAAACTGTCATGCCTCATGTAGCAAACTGTTATTTGAGAATAAATTATTATTATGTTGTGCTTCAGTACAGGAAGGATCTCTCTCTTGGGCGTCAACCATAGCAGGGAGATTAAGCACCAGTAAAGTAACTGCATTTACTTGTATACGTGACAGAGCATCAGAAACATGACGAAGGTCTGCCGTGAACTGAGAGATATAGTCCGAAAGTCCACAACTTCGTGTTGAGGAGCGAACAAACTTGGTATGCAGAGCATACGTTAAGGGATTATGGTCGGTGAATAAGATGAAATTACGACCTTCCACTGCCTGCCGGAAATGTTTGATGGCACAGTAGGCTGCTAGCAGCTCTCGACGAAAAGCGCTATATCTCTTCTCCGCGGGAGTAAGGCGTCGTTAGAAAAATTCTAGCGGTTGCCAACTACCGGAGACGTTCTGTCGCATAACGGCTCCTATAGCGAAACTCGGTGCATCAACCGCTATACTAAGCGTGGCTGATGGGTCAGGATGAGCGGGGAGTGTGACTTGAGCCAGAGCCGTTTTGATCTCTGAAAATGCATTACGTGCGGCATCGTTCAGTTCTAACTTGCGTGGACTACCGTGAAGTAAATCGGTTAATGGTCATAACCGCTCTGGCGCGTGTGGGATGAAACGTCGGTAGAAGTTAACCAAACCGAGAAAAGCCTTCTTTTCCTTGAGTGAGGACGGTATGTTGTATTCCTTTATTACACGTACTTTGTCCTCGCAAGGTAAAATACTCTCTTGCTCAATGATGTGATCCAAAAACATTTCCGATCTTCCCAATTCACACTTGTCTGGGTTGACTACTATCCCATTATCCGAAAGGCGTTGGAATAATAGTGTAAGGTGTTTTGATAATGTCCATCTAAGTTTGATGATGTGATTAGCAGGTCATCAATATGGACGTGAACAAAATCCAAGTCTCGTACTATGCTACCGATAAACCTTTGGAAAGTTTGAACAGCATTCCGTAAACCAAATGGCATTCGTAGGAACTCAACCAGACCGAAAAGAGTCGTGATAGCAGTTTTTTCATATCTTCAAGAGCGATTGGGATCTGTTGATATGCTCGTACCAGATCGACCTTAGAAAAGATAGTCGTGCCCTTGAGTGATGCCGTGATGTCATGTATGTGGGGGATGGGATAGCTATCGAAGCGTGTAGTCAAGAGTTTCCCGCATTTAGAATGCTCTCCCAGACAAAGTGAACACAGCCTCCCCAGTATATAACATTAAAAGAGACATGTGTAATGTGGCATCGAGTCGCGGTTGACTATTATCACCGCTACAAAAAGATTACGTTCCAGTTACCAGGTTGGATCCCTCCGTAGACCAAATATCAGAAGGCAATTGAAGGTTGTAGTAAGATGTATTTGTTGGCGATCTCGTGGTATCAAGAGAATACCGAGATTGTGCCAAAGTTTACAAGCGTGACTACTGAGCCTACACGAGTTCATGCAAGGTCACGGACAATGGAAGAATGTGTGTTTTTGGTACACTTAACCAAACAGGTACAGTGAAATAATCACTGGTACAATTGGTTACAATAATAATTGTTTCCATTAAACCATTCGTGTTCTCTTCATAAAAGTAGGTCACTACACATGAAAAACGCGTACTCAACTGAGAATTGACATCTGCCTCTTGGATTATTTGAGTTTGATGCATTTCCCACAAATTACTAAGGCTATCATAAATACATAACCGGCAACTAATCCCTATCTCTCTCAATATCATCTCCCCCTCTCAATCTTTTAATTATGTCATCCTAGGCATCATCGACTGAGTAAATAATTCTTTAAACAATTGTTCACTCTTGACACTTCAATTATCACTTCAACGACCGAAATTCGAATTTTTGGTTTTGATGTAGAACTAACAAACGAATGTTTGTTCCATCAGGCCAAGCTACGCTCTTCAGTGTAGCTAAAGAAGTGTTTTTCAATAAATCATATTAAGTTACATCAAAACACAAATTCTTCTCAATCTTTTCCTTCCTAATATAATGAATAAAACCAATTACGTCAAAATACTAAATGCCTCAAACAGCACAGCCAATGCTATACGGCCAAACGTTTCCCCATCACAAAATAGCGTGATAAATGGTGAATAAATAAGTACGACAACGCATATAAGCGAACAGTTGTTTTCAGTTAGATAGTGATCAGGCTTTACTCTAATATACAGAAATATTTATACGAAAATTTTAAACCAATCAAAGCAATTTGGGCCAATAATCACAACAATGGTTTAACTTGTTCGTATAAATATTCGTGTATATTAGAGTAGAGCATGATGACGATCTGATTAAAAACAATTGTTTGCTTATATATGTTGTTCTAATTTTCACAATAGGTATAAATAAGTGTTCGGCACCTATTATTCGATAAGAGTATTCCCAGCAAAATGGGATCTAATACCCACCCACAAGGGTTCGAGTAATCGTCACGGGTGTTAGGTCCAAGCTTTTGCTCCTTCCCGTTATTAAAGTACTGTATGTCGATCTATTTGAAACTTACAAACCCAAATTAATAACAAAACCAAACTTCAGTTTAGGTACGAGAGTTTATTCGCAATTCACAAATATTCGATCCAAATGTCGTTCTTCAATTTTGTAGGTTCCCGAAGCGAAAACTCCCAATTACCAAACCAAATAGAAACCAAAACGTCCGAAAACTATGATATAAACAATTAAAATCGGAAGTGAAGTAAAGCAAATACATCCAAAAACACAGTGAAACTAGTAATATTTGATATAAAGGTTTTAATCAGCCAAATGTCGTCAGTTCTCCCGCAACACCCTGCATGCAGTCCAAGATAAGCAATCAGCAACTGAACGACGTCGTAACCACAACCTTATCGCCAATGGCCCGGCAACGTGCAACAGCGAAGTTGAATAATAAGTGTCAACGTTTGACCAGAGCCAAGGAATAGAGGTATGGAATAAAAGGACCTCAGAACATCTAACATGGTCCCAGTAGAGATGAGTAAAATTTAAAAGACCAGACAGACAAATGGCTCCACTAATATTAGTGCTTTAATAGACTATCACACACTGGACATAACCAAATACATGGAACCGTACTGAAACCACAAGAAGCGAGTGAAAAAATATCTAAGATATTGATTATTGACTTGTTTTATAACTGCCTGGTGCGTTACTTTGGGTCGTCGGTAAGTTATGCTTTTACCACATATACCAGTCTGTGTACATGTATGTGCCAAGATTTCAGTTAAACATTCCTTACAAGACTACACCACACTTATGGTTTACAAATCACTAGTTTTATCAAATGTTGCAAGATCTTGCATGGATATGAACGTGATTTATTTCAATACTAGCTAATCGTTTTAATCTGAAATCTCGAGATTTGAGTGATCGTCCATATCTGTCTGTAAGTAGCTGATTTCTCGCTAAACTCAAAATGGTACATATGTGACCTTAGTTTTCAGTAGCCTAAAAACTCGAAAAATTCAGTCGTTTAGTTTTTGCCGTGTCACATGCCACGGTGATATCTCTGGTAAATTTCGGACAAACATTTGTCTGGAATTTATAGCCTTTAGTGAGTGACGAAATTTATATTCTTCAAGCCGGCAGAATTGTCTAAGAATGATTTTATTTATTCATTTAATTTGACACAGATATTGGTACAAGGAGGCACCAAATACATATGCACCATACAAATCTCATTTGATATGTGTGAGGGCTGTAATACTACCCGGGTGCCCAAACCAAAGCAGGTGGTTTTCTTAGGAGGCCACACCCCGAGCCGTCGACCTGAAGATCTAGTCCACAAGGCAGTGGAGCATCGTAAGGATATGCAGTCCCATGGTAGCCGGTGACCAAGAAATTGGTTCCCGCAGGATACTGGAGCCCATGTGCACCATTGATTTGGGATCCGGTTAAAGCGCCGGCCATTCGCTTTTCGTCCTCTCATTTTCGTAAACAACACCCTCGCCACGAGAAGGCAGTGAGTAGGACTTCCCTTTCAGAGGCTATATACGCGTGGCCGTGTGAGAGCATTTCGAGAGGGAGGGCGAACCCACCCCGCTTTCAGCCATACCAGGGCATTTGGGGGCGTCTAAGAATGAAAGTGAAAACAATCGTCGATGGCGAGACATGTATGTGTATGTCGCGTTGATTGAGTTGTAAGCTCTTCAGACTAGCCCTCAAACAGTATTTTAGATCATAGTAACGACATTTCTAACTTGGTAGTCTGTCGGGAAGTAATAACTATAAATTATTTGATTATTTTGTCAAATGCTTGAATTACTACTCCATGTATCTATGCGTTATTTATTTATTTATTTATTTATTTATTTGAACACAAATATTGGTACAAGGGGGCACCAAATATATATGCGCCACACAAAACAATGAGAATTTAAAGAGAAGGGAAAAAAGGTAAGGAACGTAGGAAATTATAAAAAAAAACTAATGGGAGAAACGTAAAGGTAAAATCAGAAGAAATCTTACAGTTAAGGAAGAAGCAACCACTTTTTATGAAGAAGGTAAAAGAAGGTTACAGCAGGATCGCTTCTATTCTGAGCCATATCGGGTAACGTTTCTAGCCACTGTGTTGCACCATCTCTCGGACTCCAGCCAGGGAGTCGTGAAGGTCCAACACAAGTCAGCCCTTTGCAGCTTTCTTTCATACCACGACACCATGTCATACACTGACCACCTCTCCGCTTTTTCCAACCAGTCCCAGTGTCGGCAGATAATGCACGACGAGGAATTCTCTGGGACGACATTCGTAGAACATGTCCAAGCCACCGAAGTCGGTGTTTCAAGATGGTGACATCAACTGCATTATCGTCTCTGTGACCGAACACACGATGCCGAACCTCTGCATTACTAACATGGCGTTGCCACTGGATGTCAACAATCCTTCGGAGACAACGATGATCAAACATAGAGAGTCGTCTAACATCCTCAACTCGGAGAGGCCAGGTTTCACAAGCATAGAGCAAAACTGCTCTCACCGACGCGTTGTAGATCCGACCTTTTACAGCCAGACTGACATTACGAAGGCGCCAAAGGTGACCCAGATTGGCGTAAGCCGCTCTGGCTTTCACTATACGTGCATTGATCTCATCACTCACACCACCACCAGCACTTATGCAGCTACCCAGATACACGAACTTCTCGACTACTTCTATCTGCTCACCATCTAAAGTGAGTACAGGATTAGAATCCTGCCAGTCTTGTAGAAGTACTTTGCACTTCGAAGGTGCGAAGCACATACCGAACCTGCGGGCACTGATTGCCAACTGATCAAGTGCGGATTGCATGACTTGGGCATTCTCGCACAGTAAGACATCATCCGCATACTCAAGGTCAAGAAGTCTTTCTCCAGGCAACAGATCCACACCACCATTACTTACATCCATCAGAGCTGTTTCCAGAATGTCATCGATGGCAAAGTTTTGGAGGAGTGGTGAGATTGGGCAACCTTGCCTAACTCCACTGCTTGAATGGAATAGTGGAGAAAGGTGGTTGTATGCCCTCACTCTGCCTGAGGTGTTTGTGTATAGGGCTTTTAAGATGTTAATAAACTTCTCAGGCATACCCTTCTTCAATAGACAATCCCAGAGAACAGTTCTATCCAACGAATCGAAGGCAGCCCTGATATCAAGAAACACTACGATTGTTGGCCTTTGATAAGTATGACGGTGTTCTAACATTTGGCGGAGGGTGAAGATATGATCAATACATCCTCGACCAGAACAAAACCCAGCCTGCTTCTCGCGAGTCAATCTTTCTTGGGTTTTGAACAACCTACGAAGTATAACGGAAGCCAATAGCTTGGACGCAATCGGAAGTAGACTTATCCCCCGATAGTTGTTACAGGAACGACGTGAACCCTTTTTAAAGATAGGGACAACTATTGACTCATTTCGTGACGTTGATACACTCTCTAGTTCCCAGACCTTTGCAAACGTCGTCAGCTCCTTAGTCAGAAAGTCACCACCATCTTTAAAAAGAGCCGGAGGTTAGTCGTCCGGGCCCGGTGATTTGTAACGTTTCAAGAGTTGGAGTTCCTTGCGGACTTCCGCCTCATTTGGTGGATCAGTCGTCACCGGCCATGGAGAGCAGGACAGTCTGACCGATGTTGCCAGAGCAGCAGGCCAGTTGAACTGCCCTTCAAAGAATTCTGCCCACCGTCCAAGACGTCGATGGATGTTAGTGATTGGCGTTCCGTCATCCTCGCAGATTGTTTCACTCACACCAGACTTCTTGCTGCCAGTGGCTCGGATGAGTTGAAAGAGCTTCCGGTAATTACCAGATGCAGCTGCTGCTTCCAGCTCATTAGCACGCTCCGACCACTAGGCTTCTCGGTCCTTACGCAAGCTTTGCCCGATTTCATTACGTAACATCCTTTGTCTGTGGTCAAACTCACGGTCACCCGGAGTAGACCGACGGGCTTCAATCAGTTGTAAGGAACCAGAAGAAACACAATGCTTATAAGCGGGTTGTTTCGCGAATCCACAACAGACTTGACCCGCCATTTTCATGGCGTCATGCAATTGCAACCAATGCTCATCTATACTTTTCGGTGGAATGGTAGTTAGCCTAGAAGCTAGTTCGGTTCGGTACTTTCTAGCAACAGAAGTTGCAGCCAACTTGCTAACATCAATCCTTTGGTGGCGGTCACTTCGTTGTCCACTGAAAAGTAAGGTAAGATTGGCGCAGACCAGGGCATGATCAGATTCCAGATAGGTACACCAAAAGGAGCGGCAGTCTTGTACACAACCACGCCAGCGGTAGCTGATCGCGATGTGATCAATCTGAGTCCAGGCTTGAGATGCAGAAGGTGGACGCCAGGTGGCACATCGGCGATGATTGTGCCGAAAGTTAGTGCTAGCCAGAAACAGGTTGTGGTCTGTGCACAACTGCAGTAGACTTTCCCCGTTATCTGTCCTGCGACCAACAAGTCCCCATCGGCCACCTAAACGACCCTCTTCTGTGCCTAGACGCCCGACCTGAACATTCGAGTCTCCGGCTAGTACTACAATATCTGTCGAACGCACTTTCTGGAGAACAGTTAACTGGTGGTAGAACTCATCCTTGATTGCATCCGGGCTGCAATCTGTCGGGGCATAGGCGATTACGAAAAGACATCGTTTCTCACGCTGATTTCTTCTCACTTTGATGGAACTTTCTAATCTAACAGCACATAACCGACTGTTAATGGGGATCCAGTCGATTAGTGCTGCCTCAGCTCTAGCGCTTAGTGCGACACCAACGCCAGCAAGACCAGACAAAGATGCCACAGGGTCCCCGGATAAACGCACATAAAACAAGCTTTTTGAAGTGACAGATGGAGAGCGAACATGTAGTACTTCACCAGAGTCTTGAATACGGGTCCCGGACAGACAACACACGTCAATATTAAGACTTTTCAAAGACATGGCCAACCCTATCTGTTGTCCGACCTGCATAAGTGTGCTAACATTAAAGGCAGCCAGTTTGAATGGTGCACGTGGTTTCAGAAAAACTGCTTCAGTACTCGCATTCGGTGGTAACATACAGTTTTCAACCAGGCAGTGACTCGAGAACGTTTAGATAGAGCCGAATTTTCACCATAGGCGAGCTGCTGTCTAAGTCGAAAAGGATACATAAAGTGGGAATAAGAGAGAGTGAATAAATGACGTAGTAAATAATAATAATAATAATAATAATAATAATAATAATAATAATAATAATAATAATAATAATAGTGCGAGTCATTTCATTGTTAATCGGAGCGAAAGGAGTATTTTCCATAAGTAGACGGTTCATCGTGTTTTAGTGTGTGGGCTGTGATACTACCCGGGTGCCCAAACCAAAGCAGGTGGTTTTCTTAGGAGGCCACACCCCGAGCCGTCGACCTGAAGATCTAGTCCACAAGGCAGTGGAGCATCGTAAGGATATGCAGTCCCATGGTAGCCGGTGACCAAGAAATTGGTTCCCGCAGGATACTGGAGCCCATGTGCACCATTGATTTGGGATCCGGTTAAAGCGCCGGCCATTCGCTTTTCGTCCTCTCATTTTCGTAAACAACACCCTCGCCACGAGAAGGCAGTGAGTAGGACTTCCCTTTCAGAGGCTATATACGCGTGGCCGTGTGAGAGCATTTCGAGAGGGAGGGCGAACCCACCCCGCTTTCAGCCATACCAGGGTATTTGGGGGCTATCTATGAGTAATTCTGGTCTTTACACGTTTGTACCACATCCACTTAATGAAGACTAATGGTATTTATTATTTATGGACAATGTAATGCAGAATTTCATTTCATGATCTCATGCTGTATTACAACTCTCAGCCTGTAAGTGCAGTTTAAACTAGGCTGCTCGCTAAGGAATCTTGTTACTTGAAAAACACTTACCTCTGTTTTATAGTTATCGATAACTATTGGAATCTGTACTTATGTTCCTAGTTCGATTTTTCCTTGATCTGTAGTTGAGTCTGTACTACATATTACGTCGTGACGCTCGAAAATGTTACTTCAAGGTTTAATCAAATGTGCTCTGCGATACAACCGATCTTCTATCCCAAACTTATGTCGTCATTATGCAGCTCATGTACAGCGTCCAGCTCCTGACTTTTGTGGAACGGCAGTGGTGGATGGCCAATTTAAAGAAATAAAACTGAGAGATTATGCTGGCAAATACTTAGTCCTCTTTTTCTATCCTCTGGATTTTACCTTTGTGTGCCCAACTGAGTTAACTGCATTTTCTGATCGAATTGATGAGTTCAAAAATGAAGGAGTTGAAGTCGTCGGCGTTTCAACTGATTCACATTTCAGTCATCTCGCTTGGATAAATACTCCACGTAAAGTAAGACTATTTGGCTCTTGATTAGTAAATTGACCATAATTGATGAAATTACGAGCAGTTGATGTAAGCTACTTTAATGAGTAGTTGTAATACAGAGTAATTCGAACTGGATGTCGATTTACATTAGTCCTGATCATAGAATTCAGCCAGTTTAAAGTATTGTGAAAGATATTTGTATTATTTATACGAGTATTCGTCAAGATTAGAACGAATAGTTTGACAGATATTGGGCGCCGAGTATAAAGAATTCATTATAAAATATATTTGAAATAATCTCAGCGATTGAAATTTTAAATAATTCCAACGTTTCGTCCAGCTGAACCGAAAAGATGGTATTCAACTGGCGAATACCTGGCAAATATCGTTGGACAAGTAATTGAACCCTATCTTTTATTTTATTTTATTTTCAACCTGTTTATGTCAAATGCATCGTTATCGCTGACTGAAAATTCAATAAGGCTTTAGCAATACAATTATGTATCATTTGTACTCTTAAATATTGACATGTACATCGATGATTCATTAACAAGTATTTAACCTTGAACTTGAACTTTTAGTTATTTTTATCAGAAGGGATTGTGTGGAGATTTTAGAAATTTCACTGGTTGAAATCATGAATCCATTGAAGCTAGACCACCATGGAAAACCTGGAAGCACTGGACGGCCGTTTCGTCCTAGTATGGGACTCCTCAGCAGTGCGCATCCACGATCCCGCTCCTCGCGAGATTCGAACCCAGGACCTATCGGTCTCGCGCCAGGCGCTTAACCAACTAGACCACTGAGCCGGCATCCAACGGTGTTAATGTCTAACTTCGACCAGTCCCATACTAGGACGAAACGGCCGTCCAGTGCTTCCAGGTTTTCCATGGTGGTCTAGCTTCAATGGATTCATGATTTCAACCAGTGAAATTTTAGTTATTTTCTTAACTTTCCATACATAACATAATAACACAGAATATAAATAATTAATCTAACACATACATACATACTTACACACACACTAGATGTTGTTACAGATAATTATTTCCATGTAGTTGAATCTTTTTCAAATGGAATTGGAGTTAACTGACTCATTATATTACATGTTACAAAAATCAACTTCCAAATTTGATTGGTTTAACAAAGTACAGTTATGATTGTTAAAAGCTATATAATTCTTTGATGATTTTGATTTTGATTATTACCCTGAAGAAGTCCAGACAAGTTAGCTGGACGAAACGTTGGAATTATTTAAAATTTCAATCGCTGAGATTATTTCAAATATATTTTATAATGAATATTTGTATTAGTTTCTTATGTATTTCTTTTCACAACAGATTATTCTCTTGGGTTCTGAAAGATAGGATGTCCCTAAAACAGAGTTCAGTCTTTCCATGCCTAGAGTGTATTAACTTTCCGATTAATTCATGTAGTATATGATAAACAGTGATCACAATGTAAAGTTGTGAGCAATTCATCCTACGGCTAAGACACTATATTTCAGCGATTCGTTTTCTGTACAGTTTGGGAGAACATACCAACTCATGGTGATGACTCACGAGTTCTATTCTGTGTAAAAAAAACTCAAATAGTGTTACACAAATGAGCTCATTCTCAACTATCAGTTTTAGTTTGTGATATATCCCCAGTACTTGGTTTATTCAGTCAGTCAAAAACAACATAGAACTTCTTACGTACGTACATCAGTTTATTCAGTGTATTTTTAACTAGATCTAGAAATATTACCTACTGTAGGGTTTTCTAGGTTGCCATAATTCCTATCCACCCGTGATTTTTAAACCTATTCTACTCTTTTTTTAATCAGGAAGGTGGTTTAGGCGGTCTACGCTATCCACTCTTGGCAGACTATCAAAAAAAAATTACACGTGATTATGGGGTCCTTCAAGAAGAGTTAGGTGTTGCTCTTCGCGGCTTATTTATCATTAATCCTGACGGTATAGTCCGCCAGATTACTATTAACGATCTTCCTGTTGGAAGATCTATTGACGAAGTTTTGAGATTGGTTAGAGCCTTCAACTTTACAGATAAACATGGTGAAGGTAACTTTCTGCGATCATATTTGCTTGGTTTTTACACATTCATTTTATTTTATTATAGAGCTAAACCCAGTCAATAAAATTCACTAAAATAATTGGAAATTGTAGTTTGAAAATTATTCAAATTGTTTACATTCACAGTCCACTGATCTTCGAACCATCTTTGTTTAATTTTAAAAATATCTCCCTTTGAAACCATCTAGTTACGATCAGGGTTTGTAATTATTTTGACCTATCAATCTTCATATCTTCATGAACCGAAGTATTAAGGAACATGAACAATTCGATAATACAGATCAATCTAAAACTCGCTCCCTGAATAAGAAAGATGGTTATCTTGTGTTTAACTCGCTGTAGGTCGGTCATATTGTTAATTTGTATTGATGCAATCAGTATCTAATCATTCAATTGTAGTTTCGTCACAATTTAACATTTTTGTTGGTAAAACAATGGATACTAACTTGTTACTAATCGCACTACGCACAATATTATGAATTAATTTAGGTTAGGGATGTGAGTCACTGAATAGCGACTTAATGGTCGCAAGACCTGAAAGTTCTGTAGTCTAGTACACCAATCTAGGTGCTAAGTTGCATTTATGCAACTATCCCTCAAGAGTTTGGAAATAGTCGGATGTGGTCCGTAAGGTCTCGAAGTAATGGAGATCAGTCATTGACGAGCTTCGGTCTGTTACAATAATGCAGTAGTATTCACTCGTAATTTCAAGCCAATCGGCTACTTTATCATATGTGTTCGTATTAGCGACCTTACGTATATTATTTTTTAAATAAACTTTCACATTCCCATAAAGTACTGTAATCCTCCACTGATTGTTTCTTTTTTTATCTGCGATTACCTTTTTGTTTTAGTTTGCCCAGCAGATTGGCAACCAAAAGGCCCAACAATAAAACCAGATCTGAAAAAGTACAAAGAGTATTTTCATAAAGTTAATTAAACGTATCATTGTTCCCTGTGAAGTCAAATTTAAACCTGACACAGACATGTATTAATACACGTTGGTTCATATTCAGAATATTATATATAGTACACTGGTATTCATTATGTAACAACAGTGCTTATGAACTCATTTTCTTTTTTTTCTGTAATTTCCTTGATTATATTAAATACAAATATTAAGAAGCACCAGTTTTCAAATCTATGATACTGCACAGCAAATAAATATTCTAGCGTCATTCCATGAGATGATTGTTTGAAAAAGAAGTATTGATGAGGAAAAAGACGATCTTAAGTGAATGAGATATTAAAATGTAACAGGAATTATCTCTGTCACGATAATTTCTTATGCATAAAATATCTTGTGGCACTGTTGAACCTTTGAAACTGTTGTGTGTTTTATAAGCAGAGATAGATGGTGGTTAGCAGTGAAATCTAGTACGCAGGTTCCATCCTATTCGGGACTCGTGAGCTGGATGTACTTGCATCCCAGAGTTGATGTTCACTCCAGGACTAGAACCCAGTACCATTCTCTTCAAGCGTCATCGCGTTATCTGTATGGTTGTTGTATGTTTTGTATTATTTAGTTTATATACGATTAAGAGCAACTAAGGCTCGTTAGATAAAATGTCTCAGAATCGGTCACAATGACACAAGTATATTCACTTTTCTTCCTCCCTTAGATCTTGAGTTTTAACATTGTCCTGTACTTTTCAACCCTCGAAATAATTTTCATCAGATCATATTTATCTATGTCTAATCCTCTTTGTATCGCTAATGCTGTTATTGATATATCAGTATATATATAACTATTTTCAATATGCTTATATATGTATATATATCATTCCAAAAAACAAGTTTTTTGTTGCTAATATGCTTGCTTTTATGTGTAAATGTTTGTTCTGCGAAAATCGTTTTTACGCCATTGCATGTTTAAAAAACACATGTGTATGAGTTTATTTTCCTTTTCACCCGTTTTGTGTCTTTACACACATACGAGTATAATTCGACATGTGTTTACGTATCCTTTCTTTTTCTTTTCTAGGACGACCGGGAAAGTTCAAAGAACGATGAAGTTTACTATGAATCGAAATTTTCATTGTACCCGTTTTTTCATTATTATATTGTACCACATGGCCTCTTGTAGTAAGGAAAGACGACCAGACGCTATTAAGCATAACAAGCTATCAGAAGAGTGTTTACTAACGAAAAACCCTTTGGGTTTAAACTTCTGGTTGGCCACATCTTAGGGTCATCACTACCTCACTAAGGGGGAGTGATCTGTAGTGGTGAGTAAATCCCCATAATCAAAAGTTCTGTAAGTCTTCGACATTTGATGCTGACCACATCAGTTTTAATAAACTCACCTAGCTGAAGACGCTCGGTCACGCATCCGCACCAGATCACGAGTGGGAACGCCGTGCTCAACTTCTCCTGCAACCACTAGCCAGCTTAGATCAGTCACTTCTCGATATATTGATAGCCTATTAAATATTTCTTCTTACCTTCCCATTTCTGACTTTTGATTTTACTGGGTGGGCAGGATTCAACTGTAGGTGTTATTGGTTAAAGTGTTGTCAAACTACAAATACTTGTGGCATCTTTACATCAGACATGATAATGAGTTAATTGAACAAGTAAATCTTGATTCAACCTGCAGTAGTGTTGTTGCTATTACTAGGTTAAAAGCTCAGAAGCTGAAAATGACTAGTAGCAAGCCAACAACTGCCTTGTTGATTATATGGTGATTAGCATTACCTACAATGCTCCCCTTTCAAGAAGTATAAATATCAGATGTGCAATAGGCGCGAACATAAAAAAATCATCATTCACCGAATCGCACGTTTCACTGGCCAAGTGGAACGCTTTGTTGATGTAAGATCCATTCTGGAGAATTTGTGTGTGAAAATCCCTCCATGTATACACTCGTAGTTTATTCTTATTGATCCCTTCAGTTTTACATTCTGTTAGTCTTTTTGATTTCATTTGAGATGGTAATGTTTGTATTTTATTGTAGGTTTTACTTTTGTTACGCTTTCACTGAATTTCCGTATTTCTTCCTGAACTGCATTTACATTGTTTTAGTTTATACTTAGTCTCGGCGGCAGCTATATTGACTTGCTCCCCCTTTGATTGTGTTGCTTGCATTGACTGGAATTGTACATTTTTGATTGTGAATTGAAACACTTCTCTGGAATTGAAAACACTGTGTTATAAAGCAACCAAATATATATTGAATGTTGAGAACTTTGTGTGTTTAAGAAGGTAACCTCACACCCCAATCCACCAAAAATTTCAAAATAGAGACCTATTCACTACCGGTCTGGTTTCTTCTATCGGTGGAACGATGGTTATCCACCGTCACGAACGACTATCGTGGCGTACATCCTAAATGAATTGCTGGTCAGGTCATGCAGAAGAAAGTATAATTTGCGAGATTTCAGTTGGCTCAGAAGTTTGAGTGCGTTATTCCAACCAAATGAAAGCAACTTCGATCACTGGCAACGAGACTCGACATAGAATACCTCTTGATGTCCTGCTGGTACTTGTGAAACCAAAACCCCTGGGACAAACAAGTCAGTCTCCGTTCAGGCAAGGAGTGACATCATTCACTTATTGTCTAGAGGATAGACAAGTCGAGATCACAGACCAGTCACGCGATTGCAGGTGGACCCTAGCACTAGATTCCACGATTCTGCTCAAAAGGAATATAGATAGGATTAAAGCATGTTCAGTGCAGGATTGTGTTGGGGTACTCATTGTCTATTTCTTGATCAATAAGCACTGGTAGATACTTGGAGTAGATTGGAATTTCCTCATGTAAAAATGATTGGTAAACTAACATTTTTCTTATTGTGGTTCCTATTTCCATCAAACCTTGTTGCTTAGAGTGTAGTTATGTTCCTGTGTTTTGTTTTAAGGACTTGTCGAATGAAGTAGTGTCCAAAAATACTAAGCAATAACAGTGGCTGGGTTGGAAACCATAACAACAGCCCATTTCAACCAACATATTATGAGCATGTTGTAGTTTCTTGTTTATAGTGTTGCTGTGGTGTGTGCTACTTATGTATACATAAGTAGTATATGACGCGAGTTAGGAACGTAATGTCTGGCAGCAGAAGATGGGGGAAGTGTTATGATTTGATGTCCGGCTTTTGATCACGTGACTTATACACCAATCAGAATACGGCTTATACGAATATTCGCACTATGACAAGACCAATGACGTTCAACCGGTCTGAGCAGTCTAGCGTCCTATTGGGTCCTACGTCCTTCTAACCCGTCCTCTTGAGTCCAGAACACAATACCAGCTTCTGAATCAACCAAAATCGAACCAAATCATTTATTTCAGACATACTCGGTTTATATATCAATCAGGCAGACCACAACGTACCATAAAATAGAAAATAACATATGTACACAAATAGGCCAAAAAATGGCTGTGAATGTGGGAGACAGTGATTAATAAACTGAGCATAATTTAGGGACAGTAAATCGTACAGTGATAAATTATGGGTCAAAGTGAAGCTTATGATAAGGGGAATATAAATATACATAACCTAACTAATGAACAGTTATACCGTAAGAATATATAGATAATATTAGTCAATTAATGTCTCAGAAATTACTCGTGATTTAATCTTCGCTCGGATATAACAGGAAGATCAAGAAAGGAAGAGCGGGAACACAGTGGAATTTGTATGGAAACTCATGAACAATGAAAGGACAGACAATCGATTGATGTTTGCAACAGGAACAATTAGGTTTGATGGATTGTTATTTTGCGAATTAACGATTCACTGTATGGTTGTTAGATTTTAATAACTAGTTCTGTAATCTGTTGTCAAATACATCCGATTGTCCCCCACTGGTGTTTTGTTCACTACATTAACTTAGCATATCTTTCAAGCTATATTTGCTTGACATATAGATTTCACTTATAATGAATGCGTAAAATGCTCAAGAATTGTGTGTGTTGGCTAGCTGAAGTACTTTTCCTATACGCATCTATACTGATAGAACCACGTTTCTTTCAGTTTAAGCAAGCGTTGGGGAAATATAGTTTGCTATCAAGTTCTTCCCTTGTAAATCCGATTGCTGAACGTTTGATGTGAAATGTAACCGAGATTTCTTTTTTTCTAGTCTTCTGACCAACTCCGCCTGGAGTCCCTTTCCGGGGGCTACTGCCGGTCCCAAGCCCGGATAAAGGAGGAGGGTTGGGCATGGGGTTAGCGACCCCATCCCGTAGAAAACCAACTCGCTAAAAAACGCTAACCAGAAAAAATTATTCAAACCATTTAAACTCTGCCCTGGGAGTCAGGAGGTCTTCGTTTAGAAGAATTATGACGCCTCATGATGAAAGCCGAGTTTCTTCGGAAGTGACGAGGCCGATGCCCCTTCTGACAACCAAAGCAACCATTTATTTAGGTACATGGAATGCTCGCACAATGTGGGAGATTGGGAGAGTCTTCCAAATTGCTGCAGAAATGAGGAGATACAACCTAGAGGTGCTTGGGGTCAGTGAAACACATTGGACGCAAGTTGGACAACAACGACTAGCTTCAGTGGAGCTGCTGTTATACTCCGGACATGAAGAGGAAAATACCCCACATACACAAGGAGTTGCATTGATGCTGTCCAAACAAGCACAAAATGCACTTATAGGATGGGAATCTCATGGACCAAGGATCATCAAAGCCTTCAAAACAAAGAAAACGGGGATTACAATGAACGTCATCCAATGCTACGCGCCTACCAACGACTACAACGAAGACGCTAAAGATCAATTCTACGATAGGCTGCAGTCAATCGTCGAGAAGTGCCCAACAAAAGACCTGACTATTCTGATGGGAGACCTAAATGCCAAGGTTGGAATTGACAACATCGGATATGAAGACATCATGGGACGACACGGACTGGGAGAAAGGAACGAAAATGGTGAGAGATTTGCAAATCTATGTGCCTTCAATAAACTGGTCATAGGCGGGACTATATTCCCACATAAACGCATACACAAAACCACATGGACTTCACCGGATCACAGCACACAGAACTAAATCGACCATATCTGCATCAACAAAAAGTTCAGGAGGACGTGAGAACAAAGAGAGGAGCTGATATAG